CGCCCCGCCCCGATCCGATCCCGAACCGTGTGCCGAGCCCAGGCCATGCCCCCCGGCCGCTCGCCCGGGCCCCGCCCAGCGCCCCGCCCCGCCCGACAACGGCCCCGCCCCCCAGCACAGACCGCACCCCGAAACACCCGATACCCCCATCAAACCCTGTCACCACCCCCGCTTATGCCCCCTGCCACCCCCAGTGGCAGCCCTTCAGTCACCTCCCTTCAGCACCTGTCACCTCACCCCTCACCCCCTTAGCCCGTCCTCTCACTTCTCCCCCAGCAGCACTCCTCGCTGATCCCCCACTATCCCCTGCCATATGCCTACCTCAGATCACCCCGCTGGGAATCAACACAGACCCCCAGGACTCCCTCACACTCCTCCAGCACCCCTCATCTATCCCCTGGGTTCCCTCACCGATTCCCTGAGTCTGTCTCATCCACCTCCCGGGACCTCCTGGGTCCACTCGTCCATCACAGGGACCCGCCATCCATCCCCTGGGATCCCTTCGTGCATCCCCTCAACCTGCTGGAGGGGGACCCAGAGGGACTGTGATGCTCAGCCTGGGGCCACCCGGGGTCCCACTGGGGACGGGCATCCCCCAGGGGAGCAGCACCTGGTCCCTCGGAAGCGGCCCGGAGCGAGCCCTGAGGAATTGTTTTATGTCACTTTTGTCCATTTYGGGTATCAGTGGGCCCCCGCCTACCTGCGCACAGAGTGCCATGGTCACCTCGCGTCCCGTGGCGCCGGCTGGCGGGGCGGGTGGAGGCCAGCGGTCGGGAAGGATGGGCGGTGGCCGGACAGAGACGGCAGGACGGCGATGGCAGGAAAAATGCCGTGTAGGGGAAACGCGCGGCGCAGCCCGCACTGAGGTCATGGCGACGTGCTTGTCGCAGGGGAACTTGCTCGGCAAAAGGTCACAGCAGTAGGATTTGTCCCCAGCCTGTGTGCCCCCCCTAGCGCGATGACTCCGGGGCTTTACCGCCTGCTGCACCGTCGGGGCACGTTCTCACTGCGGGGAATTCACCCAGTGCCGGGGAAATCCTCGCCAGTCGGAGCCGGGCGCAGTGACACAGAAGTGACAGAGCGGCCAAGGTGACTCTCCCGGGAGGCTGCCTGCGAGGACGGAGCCGGAGCGGCGGGGGTCGAGGTGAAGGGCGCGGCAGAGGGGCTCGGGGACACCGAASCCTTCGCGCGGGGCCAGGCGCTGCTCAGGCACCGTCAGGGCGGGATGCTCCAGCCAGGGAGCCGGGACAGCGCACCCCTGCGTGTGTCGGCATCGGGAACGCCACGGGCACAAGCTCCCCTGGGATCAGCACCGCTTCACTCACTGTACCGCCCTTTTACCCAGCACAGCCGCACTGGTCTGGGAACACCATCAYAGAAAACTTGGTGATATCATCCAGCAAAGGAAAATCCTGTCTGCACTTCCTGATCAGCGCCGGGGCAGGACGTGCTGTTTCCAAAGGGACAAGAAACCCGCACCAAACGCTTGAAACGCCCGGCGCCTCACAGGACCTTGGGGTTGCTCCCAAAAAAGACGGGATGGGACAGAATCCCCTAGGTAGCTCACGGTAGCAGTGGAACGGGATGGGACCACTTGGGGTTGCTCCCAATTCTGCCGTTGCTGCACACCGGCTCCACTGTAGGGCCTGAGGAGCGAGCCTGGCATCTTGCTAATGTCCCATTTCCACCTGCCAGAACTGCTCTCTCCCGTTCCCTGGGAGCCGGAGCCAGACGCGTTGCAGTGTCCGACAAATGACATATGACAAACCCTCRCGCCCTCCCGGTGCCTGATTTCCAAGCCATGTCCAGATCATCACCGTGATCGGGATCCAGGACCCCCATGATCCGGCTTTGTCATGGGGTGACCCCACAAAACCGGCCCGGGCAGTGTTAATTCCGTKCCCTCTCGCTTCAGAAATGACAAGAGCGGGAGCAGCTTTTTATGCCTTTACTGAGGAACTTTCTGGGTGATTCTGATGCAGCTTAGGGTTTTTCATCGCATCACAGAATATCCTGAGCTGGAAGTGACCTCCCGGGATCATCCAATCCAGCTCCCGGCCCTCACAGACACCCAAACAACCCCACCCTGTCCATCCCTGGCAGCGCTGTCCAAACGCTCCTGGAGCTCTGGCAGCCTCGGGGCCGGGACCATTCCCTGGGGARMCTGGGCAGTGCCCAACACCCTCTGGGGAAAAAACTACCCAACCTAAACCTCTCCTGACACAGCTCCAGYCATTCCCTGGGTCCTRTCCCTGTSACAAAGAGCAGAGACCGGAGCYGCCCCTCGGGAAGAGCTGCAGCCCACGGTAAGGCCTGTTCTCAGTATCGCCTTTTCTGGGCTGAACCAGCCCAGTACTCTAAGCCGCTCCTCCCCTGGCGTCTCCGGGCCTTCCCCGTGCCAGTAGCCGTTCTCTGGACGCTCCGCCGGGGTCCCCCGCCACACGAAGATCCCACATGGCATATCTCCCCCGCCGGTGCCCGCGGGCGCGCCGGGACCGACGGACCCACCACACGTAACCACGAACAGCTGCACTGCGCATGCTCGGCCCGCCTCGGCTCAGTCGGGCACGACTATTGGTCAACGGGTCTGACAGCACCGCAGAACAAACCAATCCCTGACGGGTACCGGGTGATTGGCAGGGTCAGCAGCCAATCTCAGTGTGCACAGACACGTGCCGTGTTACCTCAGGCTGGCGTGCTCTCAGCCAATGGCATGGCGAGCAGGCTGATTGGCAGTGCGTTGCACCTATCAGAAGGAGCGCGTCACKCCTGGGCGCTGTTAAGCCAACAGTGCACGCAGAAGGCGGGCCCCGCCCCCTGCGCTCGCTCTGTCCCCGCCTATGAGCGGCCGTTCCGCTGAGGGGCACGCGCCTGGGCCYGTCAGCGCGCGCGGCGCTCCCGGGGGCGGGCAGTGGGCGGGGCCCCGGCGGCGGGCGCGGCCCGGGCGGGGTGGGAGCGATGGCGGAGAGCGACTGGGATACGGTCACGGTGCTGCGCAAGAAGGGCCCGAGCGCGGCCCAGGCCAAGTCCAAGCAGGTGAGCGGGGGGAGCGGCGGAGGCCGGGTGCGGCGTCGGGCAGGCGCCGGGTCTGCACTTGGCGTGGTCGAGGCCGTCGCTTTCGGTAGCGCCGCGCTCACCGCGCACCTTCCCTCTCTCCCCAGGCGATCTTGGCGGCCCAGCGGCGCGGGGAGGACGTGGAGACCTCCAAGAAGTGTGGGTATCCCGCGGGGGGTGCCCGGTCCGGCTTAGGGCGGTTCCCTGGGATGGGGAGAGGGGATCGGAGGCGGCGCCGCCCGGCTGAGCCAACGACCCCAACCTGGGGCCTAACGCGCAGCCCTGAGAGCCACAGGAATGACGCCCCTGGAGCTGCCCCGTAATTTCTGTTTGCCCGGGGCAGAGCTCTGCCTGGTTTCTGCAGAGATCTCGGAAGAGCTTTCAKGATCACAAAACTTAAACAGCGTATTTCTCTTGAGAAATGAAATACGCTTGAGTTTATGCAGCATATTTCTCTTGAGAATTTGAATAGCTGCTGTCTTCCTATGGCRCTGCTCTTTAATAATTCCTTTTTTCCTCTCCGATGTAAAATTGCCAGTTTCTGTCATGTAGGGAGGAGATTCTGATGGGTGGAAACAGAGAGTTGATCCTTTAAGGAGGTTTAGTCAGGTTTGTTGAGACACTGAACGTCAGAGGCTAATGTGAGAGAAAGGATTCGAACTAGGACTTAAATACTGTAACTAAAATGAGGAAAAACAATGTGTTTTTGAAGCTCAGGCTTTCAGCAAAGCTAAGTACAGTTAGACTTATAAAAGGTGCCAGAAAATTGCTTAAAAGCCACTTATGCTACTGCTCATACTTGAGCAAACATGATTCAAGTTCAAGTATTGACTCCTCTGTGCTGCAGCACAAATGTGTGTCTGCAGTGAAGTTTGAGTCTTAAACCCCCTAGGAAAAGCAAGAGCTGCCCTGTCTGGAGTGAAGTTCAGGTATGAAGCAGGGAAAGGGACGGGCTCTGTGTGGCTAAAGGTTCACAGCACCATAAGCAGGGCTAAGATAAGGTTCCCTGGGCAGGGCAGGATCTGGGTGAGATCAATACTGATGTTGGCATGTTGAAATCCGGACAGCTCCCTGGGATCCTGGGCAGCTGAGGGCTTGGAAAAAGTCCTTCAATACTTTTTGGCACGCTTCTGAGCCTTATTTTGTTTGTCCTTGGTTGTTTTTTTTTGTTCTTGCTTTGAATGACAGGGGCAGCAGGCCAGAACAAACAACACTTCATTACAAAGAACACGGCTAAGCTCGACCGCGAAACAGAGGAGCTGCACCATGACAGAGTTTCCCTGGAGGTGGGCAAAGTGATTCAACAGGGCCGGCAGAGCAAGGGCCTCACGCAGAAGGACCTGGCCACGGTGAGTGGGGCACCTCCAGGGGAGGGTGGGYACCTTTCATGTCCCCTTGTGGGCAGCTGCAGTGGGAGGGAGTAACGGACTAGAAGTTTGGGGAACACAGCATCTCGGGTGTCCGATTTCCCGGCAGCTTCACCTCTCTGGGAAGAGTTTTGAGGTTTGTCTGTGCAGACCTTGAGCCCCAGGTTGGAGCCAGAGCCTGTCTGTCACTGCTGAGCTGGTGGGAGGCTGCCCCTCCTGCTTCCTCCCACCTTACACCAACCTGGGGGGTTTGTACCATCTGGGCTGAGCAGTGTTAGCAACTCCCTCCTGTGTGAAGGAACAGCAATCCCTGGTGTTCTTACTCCTCCTGGAAAGGAGGGAARTCAAAGTCTGTTCAGGATGGATGACACCAGCACTGGGACACTGCAGGGAGGTGCCAGTGGGGGTGGAGTCAACCTGGGAGCAGCACTTTGTGATCTCTCCTGGCATAATGAGGGGCTGTTCCTTACCTRTGTGAATCCTGGGTGGCTGCTGCTGAACATTGCTGTGTTTGAGATTCACCCTCTCTTTCCAGAAAATCAATGAAAAACCACAAGTTATCGCTGACTATGAATCAGGACGAGCGATCCCCAATAATCAGGTCATGGGCAAGATCGAAAGAGCCATCGGTGAGTTAAGGAAGACTTCAAAAATATTGCCAGTGTTYGGAGGGGTGGCTTGGGGGAACGTATTTACATTTTTCCTGAGGAATCTTGCTGGCTGGAGTTTATCATGAGTGTGGTGCCATGAAGTCGTATTCTGATAAAACGTGGATCTGCTGACTGAACCAGAACTGGGAGCTCTTGATCTTTGTTTGCACCTTCATGTGTGTGGCTGTGCCCTGGAGTCCATCCCAAAACCCAAAGCCCCCAAAATCTGTGAGATGCTGAGACCCTTGGAAGCCTGATTGCACTTGTGGAAGGATTTAGTGTTGGTTTTATTCTCTTGGGCTGGTTCAGATCCCATCTCCTAGGAAGACAGTTGTTTTTTGTTTGAAGTCGGTCTGGTGTTCCTAAAAACTAAAGTAGCATCCTCCTGAACTCTGGTTCCCCTGCTCCCTTTTTGGGTGTTCTCTTCCTTAAGGTTGAAATTGATGGAAATAAAGTTAGTGGGTGAATAATTGAGTGCTGATGGTGGTGGTCTTTTTTGTCTTACTCTAGGCCTCAAACTGCGTGGAAAGGACATTGGAAAACCACTGGAAACTGGCCCWAAAGGAAAATGACAACAAAGCCTCGAAATCACTTTGCTCAGACTGATCTGGCCCAGCTGGTTCTCCTCAACCACTCTGCTTATTGCCAAGCTGAACAAGAGGGTTTCAGACTTGCTTTTGGGGGGAAATCTGCTGAATATGTACCTGCTGTAAAAAGGCAACCTTAAAGAAGCAATTTTCCTGATGTTTGTTTTTCCTTCCTCCTTTTCAGAGATTGAGGATCTAAATCCCAAGAAAAAACCCAAACCCCACCTCTGATTTTCCAGAAAACGTGCATTGTGGTGTTAGCAGCAGCTGATGTTAAGGCACTTGGGGTGATCTGAAATGTGATCGCTTGAAAAAAAGTTTGGGGGATGGGTGAAATAGAAATAATTTGGGAGAATTGGGACTTGATCAGAAATGATGACTCAGTCACTGTATCTCAATGGGTTTGGTTTGTTCTTTCCAGCCTGTTTTAAAGAGGTCTGTAATAAAGTTTGATACCCTTCAGTTGTCCAGGGGAGCTGCTGCTTGTGACCAGCTGGTACTAAATGTTGTGGCTGGGTGCGACTGGAACTGCACCACCTCTTCCTTCTGGGATTGTAATKAAGGGGGTGCCTGGGATGTGGGCCAGCACTGTCATAGCCTTCCTGGCTGTGTCATCTCTCCCTGTGTTAGGGGTGGTGCAGCTTGGSTGGCAGCCTGAGGATGGAGTCAGTGCAGTGGATGTGAGGGGAGCCTGTGGGGATCTGCAGAGTCAGGCAGGTACAAAGGCATCARCTGAAGCTTGAGCTCTCCTTGCCCTTCCCCAGCTCTCAGCTCTGCTGAGGCCTCATTTCTGCAGGCAGGACAGGGCTGTGGGGATGGTGCTTGTCATGACTGAGGCATCACCTCCCAGCTGGGTGAGAGGAGGACAGGCTCTGGTCACGCACTGGTTAAGGCTCTCCCCAGCCCCTCCAGCTGGACGTGGGGTCTGGGGAAGCAGGATCCTGGTGGGCTGCTCATTGTGCAGGGGCTGAACTGGGCTGCATGTGTGGTTGGGTTTGGAGTTCAGTGTTAAAGTGTGAAAGCTGGGTGCAAGGGAGGGGTCCTGTGCTGAGGAGAGATGGGGGCCCAGGCCCTGAGCCCAGCCTGCACTTCAGRAACATTGAGTGGCAAATTATCAAGTGCCCTTACAAAGTGTGTGGATAGCAGATGGGCACCTGTAGACCAGAGTGGGAGCTGCCTGCTGCCCTCAGGGGTGCTGTGTGGTGCCCCACTCTACTCTCTGCTTTCCCACCCACCACTGACCCTCTCCAAAACCAGCAGAGGCACTGTGCTTCCTCCCTGTGGGGTTTCTGTGCCCTGGGAACTCTTGGGCTTTGTTCTGATGATGAGAAGACTCATGTCCTCTGCAGCACCCACTGCTCTTCCCAGCTCTGGGGGCCAAGACCCCACACTTCAACCCCCCTTCCACAGCCAGAACCCTTTGTGGATAAGRACAGTCACTAAGAGAACTCCCACTSCTGCCACCTGCCAAAGCATGGGCACGTTGCTGTCTTGGAAACAGAAAGTTCATGTTACAAACGACAAATACACTTTTCCCRAACACTAGGAGGTAGTGATGGCAGCGGTGTGTCCCTCTGTGGGGCTGGCTCCCCAGCTTGCCAGCTCCCCAGTGCCGGGGCAGAGAGCAGGTGACTGCTGGAGTGTGGGTTCTTGTCAAGGGATGGTCTGTATCTGGCAGGAATGTGCAATTCCTGTTGCTGGCTGGTAATTTCAAGCCTCATTCCCCTCTCTTGAAGATATAATGACCTTGTCCTGCAAAGAAAGATGCATGGGAACTGGTGACAAATGTGGGCTGTCTGCTGTGAAACACTGGGATTTCTTCTGGGCTGCAGTGAAGACAGCCTGTGTGCCAAACTCTTGTGGTCAGCAGAGAGCCCAGCAGAGGCATCAAACCCCCAGTGTGCCCAGGGGGCTCCAGGTTTGTTGTTGGCATCCATGCTGGGGCTGGTGGCTGTGCTGCAGATGTCATGGCACCAGACCTGTCCAAGGGACCTGCAGCTTAAGCCAGCTTGCACAGATTTGAGTGCTGGCTCATCCAGCACATCCATCCTTGGGTAAGGATGAGGCATGTTTTCCAAATCCCCTTCCCACAAGGCCCCAGGGTGGGGGCACACTCGGCTCTTTCTGGAACAGCTGCTTGGTGGCAGGAGCATTTTTAGGTCAGTCCTACAGCTCTGGGTCACTGGTTTGTCAACAAGCAGATAAGAGGCAGAGCCCTTTGCACCTCCCTGTCGTGTTGGTGGAACACGAGATCAGGGAGAACCTGCTGGTGTTTGCTGAGCTTTTAGGAAAATGCTGGGCTAATCAGGAAAGTCCTTCACCCCATTCTTACATCTCGGAAGGTGATATTGTCAAAGCCCAGGGGACTGTTGCTCTCCGCTGCTGTCCTGCTTGCCAGCCCTCGCTGCTTCAGCCAGTACCAGMCCCCAGCAACCACCAGTGCCACAAYGATGAGGGCCAGGAGCAGACTGAGCACCACCTCCACCACRAAGCTGCTAGAGGATTTCTCTATAGGAAGAGGAAATGCTGTCAGCCCACTGCCCAGAGAGCTGCCTCCAGCCTCAGCCCATCACCCTGGGCTGCTCTGGGTTGACCTTTCAGAGCCAGAATTAGCCCCCCTCTGCACCTTCCACTGGACCCTCTGGGCTGGAATGGCAGCCCACCCCAGCGCTGTACATGATGTCATCCAGTGCCACCGTCCCCTCCATCGGCCACCTCCTTGTAGTGATCTCAAAGCTGATCTGCAGGGAAAGGTGGGGTCTGCGGGGCTGATGCATACCCCCCCCCCAAGACACCCTGCGGGGTGGCCCCACTTACCTGGAACTCACTGGGGCTCTGTACTGGCACCACGGCTCCCTGCCAGCCCTGGCTGCGGTGCCCCGCCATGGTCCATACGGTGCGTTTCCCCACTGCGCTGTGCAGCGTCACCCGCAGCTCCCCRCTGGCTGCAAGGAGGGGGCACAGGCACCCTGGCATCACCAGCTGCCCTGAGCCCACARGAGCCACCAAGCCCTCTTGGCTGTGCCATGCTCTGCTGTGATGGCACCCAGAGGGAATGGGCCATCCCCAGTGCCCAGCTKGAGCTGAACCTGAGTGTCCATGGTCCATGAGTGGGGAGGACTGAACCCCCCACTCCCATATTGGGTTCATGACACCCAGGAATGGCACCTCCTCCCTGCCCCTACAGCAGCACAGGGCAGTGCTCACAGAGGTGCTCCGGAATGTCCATGTGGTACCAGAAGCGCAGGCAGGAGTCGGTGGCCGCAGGCAGGGGTGGGCTCTCCAGTAGGGCACTGGTGCCCCTGGCACCTAGCACGCTGGTGTCGAAGTGCATGTAGTGACCTGGACAGGCAGGGACAGAGCACAGGRTATTCCCCAGTCCTGCACCCATTTSTCCCACCCCRCTTGGGCCATTCTACYCAAAAATGCCCAGAGTGATGCCTGGAGGGAGGTGCAAAYGAGCCCAGCACCTCACTGGTCCCTCCCAGGCAAATGTGGGACAGGGATGTTGTGGAGCCAGGCCCCACAGGGSGTACTGGTCCGACCCCATCCATCCCCAGCTCCTCTTCCTCACTCTGGCCATGCMAGGGTGCCTGGGCAGGGATGGGTGTTTCCTACCATTCCTTGTGCCCAGGGTGTGATCCTGCTCGGGGCTGGGGTACTTGGCCAGGGTGATCCCACTCTTCCAGCCCCAGGCAAAGCTGTACAAGCGCGGGTCTGAGGGGCTGCTCCAGCCACACGTGTCCAGCTCGAAGTCACAGGATGCTGGCAGGAAAGAGGGGCTGTGAGACACCCAGTGCTACCCGGTAGCAGATGGGGCACCCATGTGGTACACAGCACACCCAGCTTTGGGCCAGGCCGAGCTCAGGGCAGGAACAGAACTGTCCCGATCCCCATGGCTGCATGCCTCCATAGGATGGCCTATCCCCCCCATCTGATCCACGGTGCCCCTGTGGGGTGGGGTCTCACCTGGCCCGGGGCAGGCTCCATCCAACACGTGCAAGTCATCCAGTGCGATGTACCCGTGGTCACCCCCAACTCCAAATGCCTCCAACACCACCTGGGCAGGATGACAAACTGAAGCTGGCAGCCTCCACACACCACTCATCACCCCCCACCACCCTGCCCTGTCTCACCTGCCAGTCCCCATCGGGCTGGATGGTGACGTGGCTGCGGTGCCAGTTGCTCCCCTCCATGGTGCTCACAGTCAGCACCTTCCTCCGTACCCCACTCTGCTCCACGAACACCCTGAGGGAGCCTGCCCAGAGCACCCAGCATGGAGGAGGTGTCCTGGCCTGTGCCATGGGGGGCCCTCATCCATCTGGAGGTGCCCCTAGGGGTCTCAGGGTTGGTGCTACTGACCTGGGGTGCTAGTGCTCAGCTGATACCAGAAGACCAGGCACTGGGTGGGCACAGTGGGCTGGTAGGGCTGRGAGGTGAGGGCAGCTGTGTGCCCTGCAGGCAGGGAGATTCTGTCTGTGCTCACCACCATGTAGTGGCCTGTGGGAGAGAAGCCCCTGTGCTGTGACCCCTGCCAGCTCTGCTGGGGAGCAGTAGGGGACAATTGAGGCTGGGTTTTCCCCCCCCCCAGGTCAAGGAGTCTCCCCAKCTTGGGAACCTCCCCAGGATTAGGGAGCCCTGGGGCTGCGAGACTGGGTTTGGTGAGTCACAGGGTTAGGTGCAGTATTGCCTTCTGCTCATCCCRGGGAGGGCAGGTAGGCCAGGCAGGACACAAGGGAAAGCAGGCACGGCTGATGTGGGGTACAGGCAGGACACTCAGAGCAGGCAGGGAGGACACTCAGTGCAGCAGGGAAGCAACAGGGCCACCAGGGCCCCATACCTGCGGTGGTGCCGATGGTGTGGTCGGTTGCAGGGCCGGCGGTGGTGCCGGTGCCATTGCTCTGCCGCTGCCAGGTGCCCTTCCCAGTGGCTGCCAGGCCGCAGTCCCCCGCCTCGAAAGTGCAGGAGAGCTTGGCCCCGCAGGGTCCAGCGGTCAGCGCGAGGTCATCCAGCCCCACGTCCCCCAGGAAGCCGTCCCGCAGCACCTCGAAAGCCACCTGTCCCCAGGCAGTGGTGTCAGACACCCTGTGCCTTGCTGGTGTCAGGGACATGGGGGGCCTGCTCCTCACCTGGTACCGCTGCTGGCCCGTGGCGGGCAGTGTGGCCCATGCCCGGTGCCAGAGGCTGCCCTGGCTTCCTCGGCAGGTCCACAGCACCATCTCCTCCCCTCCCTCTGGCYGCAGCTTGAGGTTCAGAGTCCCTGGGCAGAGGGGAGCGTGGGGCAGCCATCCCGCACCCCTTGGGGACCCCGTTATCTTCAGAGTGAAGCCGGGCTGGAGCACCCCTGGGAGGATGCTGTGGGGCACTTACCAATTTGTGGGCCAGCCAAGCGGTACCAGAAGGAGAGACAGCGTGGGGCAGCAGCTGGCTCCTGGTGGGATGTGAGGAGCTGGGCCCGCTGCCCACGGCTCCACGGCACAGAGGGGTCGATGGACAAGAAGTAGCCTGAATGTTGGGGACAGAGAGGGTGGGGGAGACATGGATGTGAGGGCTCAGCATSACCCACAGCCCAGATTTGGGGGCTCCCAGGCTGCCCTAGGTGAGCTTGCTCCATAGGCATGGGGCTGCTGGGAGTGCACAGGGCATGTCTTGGCCCTGGGGATTGAAGGCAATGGGATGCCCCAGGCTCCTGGGCTGCCCCAAAGAGCTGCCAGCCCCTTACCTGAGCCAGTGGTGTGGTCAGAGCCCTGTCCCTGCCCYGTGCTGCGGACCCATCTGAAGTCACTGGACAGATCCTGGTACCAGCCACATGTGCCCMTCTCAAAGTTGCAGGACAGCTCTGGCCGGAAGTGTGGAGGTGGAAGGGGATAAGGCACCCCAAAAACAAATGGGTCCCCCAAATGTCCCTTTCCCCCTGCTCCCTTTCCCCACTCTCCAAGTTCACCCCACASAGGGGTCCCAAGCCAAGGCAGGAGATGTGCTTGGCCCTGGCCTTGGGCCTTCTACATCACAGTCCTGYTCTTGGACAGAGTGACAGCCACCAGACGGTCCCCATGGAAAGGGTCTGGGGTTACCTCCCTGCCCACTTGCCCTGGCCATACCCGCAGCCATGGGTGACACCACGTCGAGGTAGCACTGCTCGAATGTCACATTGTCAACACCGACACTTGCCGAGCCTTGGAGATCCATCAGTGCCAGCAGCTCGACCTGGGGGCAGCAGCCATGAGCCTGGGGTGCCCAGCACTGYCCCACTGAAAGCCCCCCAGGCYRGTCCTTGTGTCCCCAGCACACCTGGAAGGGCCGGCTCCTCTCTCCCAGTGGGATGCGGACACGACCCCCAGCAGTTCTGCCACGACCYTGTGTGTGCCAGGCCAGCTGGGTGGTGTCAGTGGTGTGATCTGTGACGCTGACAGCGAGGAAGCCTGGCACAAGAGGTGGTGCAGAGGCTGTGGGCACCCAAAACCCCTGACCACCCTGTGGGAGCCCTCCATGGCACCAGCCCATGGTCACAAGGGTACACGGACATAGCGACAGGAAAACCCCAGCTCCAGAATGATGTGATGGGGCAAAGAGGGGTTGGGAGAGGCAGCAAAGGCAGCATGGGGGGCTCTGGGGGAAGGGAGCAGGCAGGGCACCCCAGAAATGGGCAGGGAGCAGGCTGGGCACCTGGGCAGGAGGTTACCTTGGGGGTCACTGTGGATGTGGTAGCTCATCTCCATGGTGCAGGCAGGGCCAGAGGGGCCCAGTGGAGGTGTCTGTGCCTTTGCCGGACCCACCATCTGTCCTTCTCCTGTCTGGAGGGCCAGGAAAGTGCCTGGGCACAGAAACACTCTGTGAGGTCAGGACTGAGGTCCCATATCCCTGGTAGTGCTCCCAGCCCTGCATCCTGCCGGGGCATCATCCCCCCTTGTGCAGTGGCACCCACGGGGCTGCCTGCTCTGGGGGCTCCTGTGGTGCTGGGCAGTGAAGAGCATTGTCTGGCTGGTGGGCAGTGCTGGGCAGTGAAGAGCATTGTCTGGGTGGTGGGAACAGCCTCACCTGTGAGGAAGGCGTCAGGCTCAGTGACTCTCTGCACACCCCAGCGCAGCCGACCCACACTGACATCGTGCCAGCCCCCGGCCCCTGACTCGAAGGTKGTTGTCCCTGCAAAGTCAAAGAATSCCAGAATCCCAGGTTTGGGTTGGAAGSACCTTAAAGCCCATCTCATTCCACCCCTCTGCCATGGACAGGGACACCTCCCACTAYCCCAGGTTCTTYCAAGCCCTGTCCAACCTGGCCTTGGACACTTCTGGGGCAGCCACAGGTTCTCTGGGCAGCGCAAGACTCCRGGTTCAGTCTTGCCAGGCCACTGTGCTCCCAGGGGCTGTGCAGACACTCATATGCCCTGTCTGTGGCAGCCCAGGGGTGCCCAGTCCCCTCCASTGCCAGGGTGGATGCTGGTGCCCGCCTCGGCTCTCACCGCAGYGCTTCTCGTCGGAGCCATCAGCGCACGTGTCAGCAAAGTCGCAGGCCAGCTCTGCTGAAATGCAGTCCCCGCTGTCACAGGCCACCTCCTCTGCTGAGCAGGGGCTGGCACCTGCCCAGCTTGGCAGCATGACCGGAGGCTTCTCTGCTGGTGAAACAGCCCAGGATGGAGAGTGGTGGTAAAAGGGCCCTGCAACAGCATCAGTGTGACTCGTTCCAGCCACTGTCCCCTGTCCCTAAGCATTTCCCTGACTCTCCATTTCCCCCATCTCATCCTGTCCCAGCCCAGCCCTGCTGCCACCAGTTGAAGGAGATCCAGGGCCTAGTAAGAGCTGCTTGTGTGACACATTTTGWCACAGAAATTGGAGTGTCACAGCCACAAGGACTAGCATCCCAGGGCAAGTGTTTGCTGGGCTGCACCCAGTAGGGTCCCTGTGATGAGAGACGGACAGGCAGACCATGTGGCAGGTCCTTTAGGGATGGTGTCATGGGCACTGGAACAGCTGCCCATGCTGGAGCAGGGTGAAGGACACCGCCCACCAGCTCACCCTGCTCCTTCACACAGCCCTGAGACAGGATCAGGTCATCGATGGCCACGGTCCCGCTGCTGCCAGCCACCCCCTCGATCAGCACCTGCAGAAAAGCACCATGCCAGACACATCAGYAAGGGGTCCCACACACGGGGACATGAGGACACCAGGAAGCCATGGCTCCTGTCATGGACTGACACACGTTTTCCCTAGGAAGGGGCTCGGTGGGAGCAGGGACAATGCTCTGGCTGACAGGGGTGTGCAGCGTGGGCTGACATAGCCACAATGGGCTTGAGGGGATGGCGCTTCCCCTGCACACAGTTGTGACCTGCAGCTGCCTGGGGGTGCCACTGGGGTGCCATTAGTGTGCCCTCAGGGTGTCATTGGGGTGCCTTCCAGGGTCAGCTTCCAGGGGCAGGCTGGGTCACATGGGGGACAGTAGACTGGGAAGGCATAGGGTGATGCAGKGTGGATGAAGACACTCTAGCAACCTCCCACTTCCAGTGGGCTGGGGGCTGGTAGGGAGATTTGGAAGTGGGGGCACAGAGGCATGAGGATGGCACATGCCAGCACCAGAGACTCAGCTCTGGTGTCTGGCTCCCAGTTCAGCCCTGGTCCCATAGGTGCCTACTGGTGATAGCCCTGTGACCCTGAGCCCGTAAGTAGTCCAGCCCTCACCCAGCATGGCACCAGCCCACCTTGAAGGGCCCTGTCACAYTGAAGTCCACTCTCTCCCGGACCCAGAAGTTGCCCAGGTCTCCTGTCCTCTCCCTCATCAGGTGCTTGGTGGAGTTAGTCATGTAGGAGATGCTGAGGCTGCTGGTGGCCGAGCCATGAAGGTGGCAGTACAGCACGAGCTGGGGATAGGGAGGAGGGTGAGCCTCAGGACAGGGGCATGTAGCCCACTGTGTCCTGCAGAGGTAGGGCTGTGAGGAGCTCAGAGCTCCCAATGGGCATTGGAGATGTCACCAAAACACCCTCCAAAACATGCTGCCCATACCCAACAAGGGCCAACCACAGCTCCAGCCCCATGTGAACATCCTCACAGCTGGGAACCCCATTTCCCATCACCACCATCTCCACATGGGCTGTGACACGAGGTTCCAGCTGTGACTCACAGAACAGGAGTTGGTGGCTCGGAAAGTGGGGCTGCTGAGCTGAGCGGTGCTGCCACTGCCCACGTGGAGAAAAAAACCTGCAGAGAAGATGCTGGGGCTGAGTGGAGCCAAGCAGATGTGTGGGTGCAGGACACCGGTGTCCTGGCACAGCCTTGAGCAGAGTCCAGGTGTGTGTCACCCCAGGGCATGCCCACCTGTGGTGGGGCTCTGATGGGGCACTGGTGCCCCATCACATACCTGTCCTGCTGTTGTTGCTGTGGTCCCGAGTGGGGATGCCATATGAGGTGCCCAGGTTCAGGCTCATGTTCCTGCCCCATACTGGTGCCCCAGCCACCGGCACCCAGCCACAGAGATCATGGTCGAAGGAGCAATGGGTGAAGTTCTCTGCGGGGAGAAGAGACAGCAGTGACCCAGAGATCGGTGTCCCAGCCCTCTCACGGACAGGTAGGTCCCTGTAAAGGGTTGGACTGATGCCACCCCTCTGCAAACCCTCAGGGTCGTTTTGCCCTCCYAGGCATGTGGCAGAACTGGCGGGACCCCTGCCAGCCCACAGCACAGCTCTGCCCCASCAAGGCAGACCCTCAGCCCATCTGCAGGACTCCTTCTGGGGTTCAGGGGTGCTCACTGCACTGCTCTGCGCCCTCGTCCGAGCCGTCCCCGCAGTCGTCGGTGCCGTCACAGAAGCGATGCTGTGCCAGGCAGGAGCCGTGGCGGCAGTTCCTCTCCTGGGCTCTGCAGACCTGCTGCCCGGCCTCTGAGGCAGGGGGACAAATTTCAGCAAGTGGTTGGTCCCACAGGGACACAGTGAGCACCCCCACATTGCTCCCTGGGGTGGCTCAAGGGACAGGTTTTCAGTGCCCACCTCATGCCCTGGCCAGGACAAGTGCCCCAAGACACAGCAAGCAATGGGAGAGCATCCTCGGGTTTTGGACCCCACAGAGTTCCCCCAGGATCCCAGCTCACATCCCAGCAAATAGGACTCACCTGGCAAGCCACARTTCCTGAACATGATGTCATCGAGTGCCACCTCTGCCCCGCAGGTGGGAGGTTGTGTCAGGGAGAAGATGAGCTGTGAAGGTAGGATGGGATGCCATGAGCCACCCAGGTCCCTCGGGGTCCCAGATTATCCCCCAGCTCCTCTSGTCCCAGCTTGTGGAGACATTGACCAGATCCTGACACTGTCTCACCTGGAACTGCTCTGTGATYCTGCCTGGGTAGGCAACCAGTTGGTGCCAGCCCTCAGTGCTGTGCTCGGGGCTCTGCCACAGCCCCACCACCTCGTCCTTGTGTGCCAGGGCCAGGCGCAGCACAGGCCGTTCTGTCTGGTTCAGCCCTGAGGGAAGCCCCAAAATGCCCATGGTATGGGGTATCCTGGTACCCCRAGGAACGAATGGAGTCCCACCCTCTCTGGGGGCTGGAGCTGGAACCCCTAGATCCCACCAGCTCTGCWTGTGGAGCATGGAAGAAACAAACAGGATGGCAAGGACCCATCTCAAGGTGCCGGTGGCACTGTCCTGCCATGGGGACAGAGAGCCCCATCCCTCCCCATTGCCTCCCATCCTCATTGCCCAGTAGCCAGTGCTGCCTGTGCCCACCTTGGGTGCYCTCACAGCTCCCTGAGAGTTGGTACCAGGCTCTGATCTCACATGTGGCAGCTGCTTCCTGCATCTCTGGTGACCTRAGCCAGGCCGTGGCTGTGGTCTTTKCTGGGGGGAACACGGTGACCAAGAACCAGCCTGGGGAGGGCAGAAAGCAGAGAAGGGGCTGCAGCCCCATTGGGTGGCTCCAGCACTACTCTTGCCCCTCCACGGGTCTGCTCCATGCCCTGCACCCTACAAGGAGGGCTGTTCTGGCACCCTGACTCCAAGGTACCCATAGTTCAGYGGAGCAGTGCTGTAGGTGCTCAGAGCCTGCTCACCAAGCAGCTCCTGCTTACCCAGGTCAGTGCCCACGGTGTGGTCTGAGTGAGACCCCATGCCCCACGTGGCCAGGCTGGCCCGGCCCCGCACCCATCCATATGTTGAGGTGCCCACATCCTGCCAGCCACAGTCGCTGTCCTCGAAGTCACAGGTGAAGGGGGTGCCCAGCACTGCTGAGTCCCGCAGGTACCCTGAAGGTGGGCAGATGGGAGGTCAAGGCAGGTTTGGGGCCACCCTGGGAATCTGYGCCCACCCCAGGGAACTGCACCCACCCCAGGATGCTGCACCTACCCAGGGAACCTRTGACCAGCCCTGGGGACCTGCACACAACCTGGGATCCTGCACCCACCTGGCAGACTCACCTGCACCCAGATGACCTGTGTTCAGATTTCCATGGATCTGCACCCACCCCGGGGCCCTGTACCCATCCTGARGCGCCCTGCACCCATCGTGGGCACCAGCACCACCCCAGAGACCTGCACCCACAACACTCCCCACTACATTGCCTGCTCTTGCCCCAGCAGCAGSTCCTGAAAGTGGGTCTGTGGGCTTGGGGGGTCTGGGCACCCACCACACTGGTTCTCGTCCGAGCAGTCGCTGCAGTCACAGATGAAGTTGCAGAGCTGCTCAGCCGCGCCGCTGCAGCTGTTGACGACCACGGACCCGCTGGGGAGGACGGTTCTGGCTATGGGAGAGACAATGGGGCTGAAAACCTCGCAGGGAAGCAGGCACASCGCCCGCAGCAGGTGACAGAGGGCACGCCTTTCCTGCACGTGGCATTTGTGTGGGCATCTCGGTTTGGGACCCTGCTGGGGCAGGTACTGAGCTCTCAGTTGCATCTTCCTTTGGACGACAGCCCCCACCCGACTGCCCCGGCACTCCCACACTGCCATTTCACACGGTCAGCCTCGGGCTGCCAAAGCCTGCTGGGGTACTAACTCTGCTACATCATACCCGTGCTTCGAGTCCCAGCCCCCATTTTGGAAGAAACAGGAAAATCTGGGCGGTTTTTGTCCCACAGTGAACAAAGCCGGGTGCTGGGGGCTCTGGCACTCGCTCGCCCTGGAAACCCTGGGCTGACTTCACCAGCAGAGTCCAGTAGACTGGGCTGTACCCGCCCCCACCCCCAGAGCTGGGGGAAACCGCCGGGGAGGATCAGAACGGAACAGCCAGCACCGCAGGCCCCTTCCCTCCCATGACACAACCCCTGCCCGTGTCGGCAGAGCTCACCCAGCAGCACCAGGAGGACCAGCATCGCCTGCCTGCCTGAAGCCATCCCGGCCACCGCGACGGTGAGAGAGCTGAGAGAGGCACCACCGTGAGTCCCGGGCTGGAATGTGTTCCTCAGGACCTGTTGGACTTTAGCCCCACTCTTATCGGCYCCCTGGCTGACCAGCAGGTTTATGGCGAGGCTGTGCCGGCCGGGACAGCGCACTGCGATCCTGTCATGCAGCACTGTCGGCACCACAGCAGCAAGCTGGAGCCAGGTGCCCCAAGAAGACCTTCAGCTCACCTCTGAACCTCTCTTCTTCAACCATTTTTCACCCAGGACTGGGACGGGGCCCAGGCCGGTGGAACACACCAACGTGGTGAGGGATGAAGACACTTCCAGCTGAGCCAGGGATGCTGCCAGCCCTGTGGGAGAAGCTGGCACCTCTGCTAGAGACATGGGGGCTCTGCCAGTCCCTGTGCAGAARAGTGGGACAGCCTTTGGGTGAATGTGTGGCAGTGGGCTGCACTCTGGGAGAACAGCAGACCTGGGAGTCTGTAGTATCTCCAATACTCCACCTCATCCTGCTCTCTAGCAGAGGGAAGCCAGTCCCTCTTGTTACTTCAGGCTCTGGTCCAAAGTCTCTCCAGCTCTCTTGGAGCCCCTTGAGGCACTGGAAGGGGCTGCAAGGTCTCCCTGGAGCCTGGGGATCCGGAGATGCCATCAGCAGGAGCCAGYGCCCACCCTGCCTGCACTGCTCTGGCTGGCAGCAGCATCTCAGCACCGGGCTTGTGACTGCCACAGGGCAAGGGGCACAGCTCCAGGGGCACAGCCAGGTCATTCCTCTGGCAGAGCCCCAGCAAGGGCTGGAAGTAGCACGGCTTGGCAGAGCCCCACAGGGCAGCACCAGTGATGACAACTGCTGCCCTTACCGGTTCCCTCAGCTGGGCAGGGGAAGCCGCTGCCAGGGCTCATGGGGGCTRCTACCCCACAGGACCCCTCTCACCTCTATTGCCACAGCCCCTGTACCCAGAGACGGGCTCCATTCAGCAGATCCTCCCCTTGGAGCCGATGGCTTTGCACCACAGATTGCAGTGGGATTGCATCAGGGGCAGTAAACAGGTTCAGCTCCTTCCCCCAAGGTCAGCCAGGTCCCTAAGGGCCAGCAGCCCCACATRCCCCAGCCTGGGCACCTCAGAGAGCAGGAGCCCTGTCCAGGAACCTGGCAGCACTGAGCTGGCCATGGGCCAGTGCCACTGGCAAACTAACCCTCAGCTTCCTGGGTGCCATGGTCAGAGAATCTTTCACAGGTCTGAGCCCTCCCCTTTGCACTGGGGACACTGGGCTCCCAGTATGAGGTATGGGCATACTGGAACAGATCAGGCCAGGAGCTGTGATGTTGATCACAGGATGGTATAAGATGGAAGGGGCAACTGGAGGTCACCCCTGTCCCACCCCTCTGCTCCAGGGTTCCCTGAAGATGTGTGCAGATGGGCTTTATCTCCATGCAAGGAGATAATGTGATGATTATGATGGGACTGGACTTCCCATGAGGAGGGGCTGAGCTGGATGTGCTCAGTTTGGAGGTGTAGGGGGATGTCACCCAAGTAAGCCCTGGCAGGAGGAGCCCTTTGAGCAGGGAGTGTTCTGGCAAGGGGYGAGACAGTGAGGACAAAGCAAGAACAGCAAATGCTACTTGAAGAAGAACTTTTTTTCCTGTGAGGGTTGTCAAAACCAGAGCAGGCTGCCAGACTGCTAGGGAATCCAAGTCATGAAGATTCTCAAACCCCAAGTGGTCACAGACCCAAGCAGCCTAATTCTAGAACAGAAACATGGAATTGTCTGTGTTGGAGGGGACTCACAAGAACCACTGACTCCAACTCCTGACCCTGCACAGTATAACCCAACAGTCCCACCATGATAGATCCACTGAAGCTGGCTCTGCTGGGCCAGTGGATGGACAGAACATCCCAGATAGGTCTCCAAGCTTCACAGTCCAGTGACTWGCAGATTTGCAACTGACTGCATGTGGCCACTGAGTAGCATTCCCTGCTATGGAGGGGGTGGCACACCTTGCAGGATGGAAGGACGAGGCGCAGCAGAGCCATTTTTTTGCCTGTGAAACTCATCCCCCCCATTGTGAGCCTCCTTTGAAGTCTGGGGCAGGACACGGCGCACAGTGAGCTGACCCTGCATGGCTTTGGACACAGAGGAAGAAGCCCACATCTCTGATGGCACGAGGCAGAGGCAGCAGCAGGGTCATGGCCAGGCAGGAGCTGGGAACACGCAGCGTCAGAGTCTGACAAAGAAATGGGGCTGGGACTGGCTGGAAGGCTCCTCCAGCCCCAGCCTCATGAGGGACAGATACAGAACCAACCCGGCCCGCACAGCTCCCCAGAGCTCTCCAGCCACTGAAGGCTCCAGCGGCTTTTCCCCATCTCCCACCATTGTGCCTCACTGGAAGCACAAGCAGGGAGAATCATTCAGGAATTCTGACAGACTTGAGCTGGTCCTGGGAGTCCAAAGGGATGAATTCAGGGAGGATGCTCYTCCTCAAGGTTTGACCACCTGCCAGAGCGGGAATGAGCATATTCTACCCAACCATGTTCCCAAGCAGCTCAGTTCCCTCCCAGCAGGAGACGGGGCTGGTCTCTCCCCCAGGTTTACCCTGCCTTTCCTTGCCTGGGGACCCATCGCTTTCCTCACCTGCCTCAACCCTTTTCAAGGCAAATCCTTGGATATACCTCCTGCTGTCTCCACCCCAGACTCTGCCTGCTCCCGTGCCAAGCTCCACTCAAGTGACAGAAAACATGGGGAGTTCCTTCCACGGTCAGCAGGCCCAACCTGGAGCTGGGAAGGAGCAGCTGAGCTATGAGCGTGGCCACCCGAGCAGCTGTGCTCCCCCAACAACTTTAATTCTCACAGACACACGTGGGATGAGCCCGTGGCACAATGAGGCTGAGGCAGAGCGACCACTGGCTTTACCAGTTTTGCCGTGCCAGGGAGGTGGGAACACCCAGCATGGGGACAGTTCAGTGACAGCGCAGAACAGGCGAGTTCAACACAGACGAAAATTGGAGAGCCTGGAGCACCACTGAGCATGGAGAGCCTGCTGCCAGCACCCAGGCACCGCATGCAGCCATGCCAGCTCCGGGCTGGCACTGCAGACAGAGGAGTCAGTACCCTTCATCTGCCCAGGTGATCTCGTAGTCAGGATACTCGGCCTTCAGCTTCTCTGTGGTCACAGCATGGTCAGCTCGTCCAAAGCCCTGCACAGGAAAAAGGGTTCCCAAGGAGAGCTGGTTGGTAACCACCCATGGGGCACCCCAGCAAGTCCCCCAGGCAGCTCTGGCAGCCCTCAGCAGCAGTGAGGCTGCAGAGTCTGTGCCAACTGCTCTGTGGCAGCTGAGCCTGACTACAGCTGAGGCTGGTATAGTGCCCAAGCAAAAGGACAGTGTCACCCTGAAGCTGGGAAAACTGGCAGCACTGTGGCCCGAGGACCACCACTCTACTGGGGCTGCAGCTGGGCTCTGCAGCACAGTCCTGGGCCAGGGTCAGCACCCAGGGACCCCCCACGCTGGTAATGGCCCTGAGGGTGCCTCCAGYCACCCTTACAGGGCCCCTATAGCACCTGACACTCTCACAGTAATGCCCCCAGGACACACTGACAAAGTGGGGACATGATTATTGTGAAGYCCAATTCTCCCAGCAGAACACAGCGCTGGGGGACCCCAAGGGACTCTGGCGCTGTGGGCGACCATGGGGGCGGCCCTGGGGGTGCTGGGAGTGTGGCAGCCCCACAAGCAGGTGCTCGGGGGCACATGGGGTGTCCCCCTTTGGCCAAGTACCACTCACCCAAAAGGGCTCTGCGGGGTCTCCTCTCCCTGGGGCACTCGGGGGGATCCCCAGGACTCCCGGGGGAGCCGCCACGCTCACCCCTTCCACCCCCGAGGGGACGCGGTGCCAACTCGGCCGCGGTCAGTGGGACTGCCACCGGGAAGGGATATGCCGCGTCCACGCGTGSGTCTCCTCGCCATCCGCTTACCACCGAGTACCCGTAGACGTGGATCTTCCTCTCCTCGGAGCGGTGGGAGAGGCGGCCGCCGCCCAGGCACTCGCAGCTCAGGCCATGCCGCGCCAGCTCCTCCGCGGTGCGCTCGAACAGGTCGGCTGCGGGAGGGAGCGGGGGGCAGAGTGGGGACCCCCGCCTCAGCCACCGTCCCGTGATGGGCCGGACCCCAGGGAGCCCCCGCCCTCCCCAAAGCCCGCTTTCCTCGGCATCCCCAGGCCAGAGTCCCACACCGCACTCTCGGCGCCCCTCACCGTGGTACTCGGCCCAGCCGTGGCCTCGCACGATGTCCTTGGCGGGCGCGCCGGCCCCGCGCACCCGCAGCAGCACGTACTTGAAGACGCCATCGCCATCGATCTGCACGTCCGGCACCCGCGACAGCGCCTCGCCCGCCATCACCGCCTCGCCCGCCATCACCGCCCCGCGCTGCCCGCACCCCGCCCCTTCCGGCCCAGCGCCCAACCAGCGCCGGGCTCCTCCCTCTGCTCCACCCCTTCCGCCCAGCCGGCCAACCACCGCCCGCGGCTGCAGGCCCCGCCCCCAGCAGGGCGGGGAAGCCTCCCTGGAGCGGGCCCTGCCGGGCAGCGCTGAGGGGAGGGACACGGCCCCTGGCTCGGCTCTGGCTGTGGCTCTGGGAACGGCAGCGGGCAGCGAGGCCGGGCCGGGCAGAGCGGTATAGGCGCCCCGGGTGCAGTGGGTGCGGGGCTTTGGCTGCGGTCCCGCCTCCCCTCCCC